ACATCAGTATTTTGACTTTATACCGAGAGGTGACAAGTTGAGATTCCGTAAGCCATGAAACTTGATTTACCATAAAGGTAATTCAGGATCAATGTTACCAAGTTTCAATATTTCTGATTCACATAGTACAAATGGGAATAGAGTAATGTCTTGGCTACTATCAGCAAACTCAGGAAGTCCTGCATCAAAGCTACTTATCTCAGGCTGAAAAGCACAGATGGCTTAATTTTTCCATGGGACAACTCTGTCTATACTGGACAAACAGGGTTTGAGTTATGATCCTCACTTCAAGGCTTCTGAGTATTGGGGGGGGGGGTCCAGCTTTGTGAGGCAGCTCTGAGCCAAGATAATATATCAAAAGTTCAATACCTTGACTATCAGGATTGAAGCAGCTAGAATTGATGGTACCTAGCAAGGAGGCATGACAAACAATGATTATTCTATTTAACATATGCAGTGTTGTTGTAGCCATGTCAGTCCCAGGGTATTAGAGAGACAAGGTGGAAGACCAACTTCTATTGGTGAGAGAGAGAAGACTTTGAGCTACAGAGCTCTTTTCCAGGTCTCATTACCTCAGCCACTTGTGTCTCTATTCTATTTAATAACAGTCACAGAACAGATCTCACCTTGGAAACACAAGCACCATGGAGCAGTACTTGCCCACTGTACCTTGCCTTACATGCAACAGCATTAATTCTGTGAAGAAGCATTGTTACATCAACTCCTGTACATGGAGTTTTAGCTTTGTGATGCAATTCTGCTCAAGAGTCACCAGTCTTGAGCTCTGAAGCATCAAAGCTACTTGCACCAATGTGTGGAAATGCAACAGTATCTCAAAACAACATTTTCACAAGAAATTGGAATTTATGCACCTTATTGCTTATAGTTGAGGCTCTACACCAATGCCACTTACCTTGAACTCCATGGTCTTGAAGTATCCTTGAATGAAAGGTGGTTCTGTGTTTATATATGGACTTTGGATCCAAGGGTGGTTCATTGCTGATGTTCCTGTCTGCATTGAAACCTCTCTCTACAGAGCAGAGATGTAAGGCTGCATTTCGGATGCCAGCTAGGCATCTGCTTTAAGACAAACATCTTCAATGCACTCTAAGCATCTCAATGTAATATACTTAGAATCCTCAGCTGATACCATTTCAGGGGTTCAATGCACCCTGTGTCAAAGAGTTGATCAACTTTGGCACATGGTTTTCACATTCAAGAGAGGAATCTATACAGATATCCCAAACCTTGATGCTTTTCTTTGTGGAACCTCTAACAAGAAGTGGTGTATGGGCACACTATGTATACTGGAACAAACATCTATACTGAGGCAGATACCTTTAGGATAATCCAAGCAAGCAAACAGGAGTCTAATTTTTGAAGGCCCTCTCCAGAGAGTTTGAGTATTGTGTCCACGATAGGGAGAGAGACCCCAATATAATCCTGTAAAACTCTTCACCGCTGAATATCACTTCTGTTTTATCTTCCCTTTATAGATTTGAGATAAGAACACAGAAGACAATCTCCACCTTATAGGGGAAAGTTGATAACTTTGTCAAAGAACTTGATGTTTCCAGCTGGGCATCAAGGCTGTGAAATCTCAACACATACTGAGACAATATTACCAGCAAAGCATTGAGGCTATTAACAGATCTCCAAATTTTAAACACACTTAAAATTATATGATGGTTTTTAATATTTAAGTTGTCTCCCCGCAACCTTTTCAATTTATTTGAAACAAACCGTCCCTTGCAAAACTTTAAATGTTCAGAACTATACATATATACCACTACAAGTAGTGGGGCCTAACTTTTACAGCAGGAGGCGAGAGAAACCTAAAGACTACTCTGCCTGAAAATTCTCAGACCAACCCTATGCACCCTATTGTGATCATGGTAGAGAGGAGTCAGCCTGTTTGGGGAAGGAATTGTTTTCATGGGCCTATGCAAAAATGTGAGGGTCAATAGTTATTTTCTTATATGAAAATAATGTGACAGTACTATCTTATCTGACTGTGAGCCTGCATGTGTCATAATAAATAATATCTACAATATTAAAAATCAGATTTTAAAAGTCTCTAAATGACTATGTAATCCCTCTATATTCTGTGTTAATTAATGAAGAACAAGCATAGAAAAATTGGCAGTAAAAAGGGCAAGTAAAAATCCAAATAATGCAGATGACACTTTAAAAAGACCTGCTGAAGAAATACTAAAGATTTTGCTGAATGATAATTTGAAGAAATCTTCTCTGGTAATCACAAGAGAAGGCTGCAGATCACAATGCAGAAGAATCTCTTCCTTGCAGGTTCTGAGCTTTCCACATTTGATTCAATCATCTCAGGGTACACTAATGGCACCATTTATACCAACAGTATTTCTGATTGTCTCAAACATATTACAGTCAGCTGCCTGATTTGCTGCTTTGTAGTTTTTTAGTGCATGCCTACTGAAGGATATGCTACAATATCAGAAAGGCTTAATAATTGCAGATGGGTTTTGATTATTTCCATAAAACTACTCCTTGCCTTTTTCTTTGAAAAAGCTCAAAAGGATAGAATCAATCAGGAACATATACCAGCTTTAAAAGTGAACACACACTCCTCTCTCCCAAGATTTAAAGTTTGTGGAAAATGTTAATTTTTAGGCTTGGTGATGTTATTCTAGCTGTAAGCATTGTTATTTTAGAGAGTGACTATAGGAAGGTAGGAATCACTCATACACTGCTGTTGCTGACAATTTATATTGCCTCAGTTTTCAAAGATTTCTTTGCCTATATTGGAGTCACTTTTAACTGTCTCAACACAGAAACATTAAATATCAGCTAAAGAAAACCATTCTCCAGTAGAGAGTAGGCAGGGCCGGCTCTAGGCACCAGCAAAACAAGCTGGTGCTTGGGGCGGCACATTTTTAGGGGCAGCATGGCCAGCGCCAGAATGCTGCCCCTAAAAATGTGCCGCGGCCACCCTAGCTCACCTCTGCTGCTGCTGCCGCTCACGTGCCGCTACTCGCCCTACTCGCAAACCTGGGAGGGAGGGGGAGACTCCGAGTGGCCGCGGCGGGGGCGCCGCTTCTCCCCCTACCTCCCAGGCTTGAGAGCCTGGGGGGAGGAGGCAGGGAAGGGGCGGAGTTGAGGCGGGGTAATTAAAAAACGGGGGGGGAGGGGTGGCCAAGATTTTTGCCGCCCAAAGCCAAAACAATCCTAGAGCCGGCCCTGAGAGTAGGAAATTTTCCACAACACCAGGAGAGAGATCTAAGCCATCACTTTCCACAGAATGTAAGCTGCCTTTTTTTTTTTTTTTTTTTTTTTTAAGTTTTTCTAGCATTTATGGTTGCAATAGTAACCAGTGAACTTCGATCCTAAGTCTATGAGGAGGCAAGCCATGTTAGCACCTCTGCTGCTTTCCCAACAGCCAAGTGGAATTGACAAGACTGGAGAATTTCATTTCTGCCACTTGAAACCCGATGGGCAACCACAAAACTGACTAGTTTCTTACCCACTTTATTCATTTCGCGTCACTTGTCCATCCCTGCGTGAAAGCTTCAATTTGTAAAAGTTATACTATAGATAGAGAATAATATTTGTATATTAGAGATACTACAGTTAAATATCTGTTCAGTATTTATAAAGTAATATACTTATTTTCAATGAGTTAAAAGTCATTACAGGGCATTTTAGTCAATATTCAAGTTAATCTATTTGATGGCTCTACATTATATTGATAGGGCTAGGAATTCACATTCAAAAGCATTTTTGTACTTTTACTCAAGGTTTCCCATGATTTAATAGGTAATAATTCACGTGTGGAAAAAAATAAGCTACTCATTTACAAGACTAGGACAGCACCAGAAGAGCTGTTGAAATGTGTGAAATAATACATATTTTGGAGTCATACAGAATCATGTCAAGTCTATGCTTTCACAGAAGAATTTAAAAATATTAGAAACGCATACATTACTGGTAGATTTGGCATCAAAACTTAAATCCAGACTCACTGTTTTTAATGGACCCATTCCTGTAATCATCTATTGCAATTATCTTTAAAAAGTAGGTAAAAATATATTTGTATTATATGTACAACACGGTAAATAAGAGAGCTTCAACCTTTACTTTAAGTTTTATAGATGTAGTGGGTATAAAAATTAGAACCGTTAGTTAAAGGTATTATTTTGCATGGAGAAATTCAGCTGTACCTCACAACATATAAGATACCACATGGAGGAAAGCCTAAATGAAGACAAGACTTGAATTAAACATCCTCAAGAGTTTAAAATCCATCTTGGTTCTTCCTTCAACTGTTGTGAACGTACATAGAGATTTCGCTGTATAATGTGAATATTTATTAGTTCTAACAAGTATATTTTTGGCAAAAAACAAACCTCTTGTTTCAAGCTACCAGTATGAACTAGTCCCAATACTTTGTTTGAATAGCGTTACCCTTAGAGTCAGGTAAATACACACACTGCCTTGTAAAAGAGAAGAAGAATAAAGCCAGCAAGCAATTTATGCCGGATCCTTGGGTGGCTGCTAAACAGCCATTTTTAAAGGCGCTGAGTCAGGAGGGAGACTCCCATCCTTCGTTTTTAATCCTACTGCAGCCACAAAGCCAGGCACCACACACACACAACAGGCACTGAGGGCAAGCGCACAGCCTGCCATGCTGCCAGGGGCCACCAAAGCCCTGGGTCAGGTCACGCGCAAAGGCTCCCGCGCTAAGCCTTACGGACACACACGCTGCCCAGGGCGACGGGGACCAGCCGCCGGCCCAGAGCCAGCTGCGCGGCGAGGGGCTGGGATCCAGAGGGCGGAGCGGGGCATTCACCTGCACGCGGCGGGGCGCGGGGGTGGAAAGCGATTTCAGCCGCACAGACTGGGGCGGGCACACTCCGGCGCTGGGGGCAGAGCTGCGGGGGCTGCGCGGGGGTGGGGAACTCGCCTCCCCAGAGGGCGGGCACGAGACGGAGGCAGAGCGGGGAGGAGCCGCGGGGCTGGGGAGTCACCTGCAGACGGTGATCAGGTTCCTCCTCTCCACCGCTGCGTTGCGGGACTGGACGCTCTTCCTACGGGCCGAGACGTTCAGCCCCCCAAGGCTGAGGGAAGCCATCGCCGCGGGAGGCAGGTGGAGCCGAAGGGGCTGGCGCGGAGCCTTTGTTCCCGGCCTCCTGCTCTCCGGGCTGCCGCCGCCGCCACAGAGGAGGACGAGGCCCCCGTGTCTCCCTCGCCTGGTGCCGGTGTCCGAGCGGCAGGTGTTGCTGTGCATCCGGCCGGCGCAGGGAGGGAGCCGGGGTCCCCCGCCCTCGGCAGCCGGAGCAACCGCGGCGCTTTAGAGTCGCAGCTGCCAGGACCGCAGAGCACCGGCTCCGCCAGCCAATCAAAAGGCAGGAGGAGGTGGGGCACAGGGCGGCAGATGCTTTAAAGGGGCGCGTGCGCTTAACGGAACCAACTGTCAAGTGCGCGAAGATGCGGCGTGGGGCGCGTGGGGCATTCGGCGAGGAGGCGGAGCCGGGACACCGCGGGGGCGGGGCGTCGGTAGGAGGGAGGTGCGGGCTATGAGGGGCACCTGCCAGCAGAGAGTAGGGAGGAGAGGTTGGGGGGAGGCAATGGGGGGAGGGAGCTGTAGGGCAAAGACCCCCACACACATCCCAGGTGTGAAATATGAAATTCCTCACTGGTCCTCAGCAGCCTTGAGGCCATAGGAGCTGCCTGTGCTAGCAGTGATTTAACTGATGAGGCAGAGGATCTGCCAGGGCACACTGTCCCAATCTGGACTGCCCCCACCTGCCTGGGAAGGCCAAACTGGCCCTGGAAACATTTGCACTCCTGCCTCAAATGAACTGCCATGACCTAGAGGCAGGGCCTCAGGGACAGAGCCCTTGGACTCTTTGTCATCAGGGCCGGCTCCAGGCACCAGGCAACCAAGCTGGTGCTTGGGGTGGCACCTGGAGGGGGGCGGCGCGGCGCTCCGGCCGCTGTGGAGAGCGGGGCCACAGCCGGGCTCGCCGCCCTCCCCCCCGGCGCTCTGGCCACCGGGGGGAGAGCCGAGCCCCAGCCAGGGCATAACGCCCTCTCGCCGCCCTGCCCCCGGCGCGCTGGCCGCTGGGGGGAGAGCCGAGCCCCAGCCGGGGCTCGCCGCCCTGCCCCCGGCACTCGCCGCCCTGCCCCCGGCACTCTGGCCGCCAGGGGGGAGAGCCGAGCCCCCTCCGGGGCTCGCTGCCCTCCTCCCAGGGCTCCGGCCGCCCTCCCCTCCGGCGCCCTCCCCCCGGCCGCCGGGGGAAGAGCGGAGCCCCCGCCGGGGCTCGCCGCCCTGCGGCCAGAGGCTTTTTTGCCTGGGGCGGCAAAAAAGCCAGAGCCGGCCCTGTTTGTCATGGTGTGCCTAAGGCCCTGTCTGGTCCTGTGGAATTACCTGTTCAGACCAAGCTTAGTGAGCCAATATCCCTGGTCTACACTAGGCTTTTATGTCGAATTTAGCGCCATTACATCGAATTAACCCTGCACCCGTCCACACCACGAAGCTATTTAGATCGACATAGAGCTCTCTTTAAATCGATTTCTGTAATCCTCCCCAACGAGAGGAGTAGCGCTAAATTCGAAATGGCCATATCGAATTAGGCTAGGTGTGGATGGAAATCGACGCTAATAGCTCCGGGAGCTATCCCACAGTGCAACACTCTGTTGACGCTCTGGACAGCAGTCCGAGCTCGGATGCTCTGACCAGCCACACCCCGGGAAAATTTGAATTCCTTTTCTTGTCTGGGCAGTTTGAATCTCAGTTCCTGTTTGGACATCGTGGTGAGCTCAGCAGCAGTGGCAACGATGCAGAGCTCTCCAGCAGAGGTGACCGTGCAATCCCAGAATAGAAAGAGGGCCCCAGCATGGACTGATCGGGAAGTCTTGGATCTCATCGCTGTGTGGGGCGATGAGTCCGTGCTTTCAGAGCTGCGCTCCAAAAGAAGGAATGCTAAGATCTACGAGAAGATCTCTAAAGCCATGGCAGAGAGAGGCTACATCCGGGATGCAACGCAGTGCCGCGTGAAAATCAAGGAGCTGAGACAAGGCTACCAAAAAACCAAAGAGGCAAACGGACGCTCCGGATCCCAGCCCCACACATCCCGTTTCTACCAGGCACTGCATTCCATCCTGGGTGCGGCCGCCACCACTACCCCACCCGTGACCGTGGACTCTGAGGATGGGATATTGTCCGCGGCTGGTTCCTCGTCGGACATGTTAGCGGACGGGGAAGATGAAGAAGGAGATGAGGAGGACGAGGCAGTCGACAGCGCTGGCACCGCTGATTTCCCCGACAGCCAGGAGCTCTTCATCACCCTTACTGAGATCCCGTACCAACCGTCCCCATCCCTTACCCCGGACACAGAATCAGGGGAAGGATCAAGCAGTAAGTGCTGTAAACATGTAAACATTTATTTTTAACAGAACGGGAATATTCATAATATTAACAATGTGTTTTTACCAAAGTGCTTTAAACAAGTAAAAAATTATCTGCTACAAAACTGGAATATTTACAATGCTAACAAAGGGTTTCTCATGATTTCTCTGCCTTAGGCTCTTCACAATTTAGTCCCAAGTATTTTAAAAAAATTTTACAATGTCCGGTACTTCATGATTCTGCGGCCCAAGACGCTCCACTCTATAGTCCCAGTGCACCTAGGCGAAAATCCGGTTAATATGGCCGGGGATTGATGAGAAATCCTCATAGGAGAACTCCTCGTAGGTCTCATGGAGGTAGATTTCCAGCCTGTTTATCAGGTTCCTGGGTAGGGCGATCTTACTGGGCCCTCCGTGGTAGCACACGTGTCCCCGCCACGCCACAATCAAGTACTCCGGGATCATCGCACGGCAGAGCATGGCAGCATACGGCCCTGGTTTCTGCATGCTTTCCCTAAGCATGCGTTCCTTCTGGGTGTCCGAGATCCTCAGGAGGGTGATATCGCTCGTGACGCCCTGCTTTGAATTAGGGAGGGGAATGTTAGTATTGGGACTGCTTTACAGCCACGCGGTGGAGGGAGAGGGGCAGCATACAGGGATCTTTCCCTGGGACAGCCGCGAGGGGGTGGGACAGGGGCAGAGTTGATGCTGTCCTGATTGCTGGCAGCAGAGACTGGCATTGCTTTCAATGTGAAAGGAGGCCAGTGCTACTAATAGAGTTTTAAGCAGCCACAAGTCTACGGCTTACCATGATTGCCCGCTACAGAAGTTCAGGTCTCCAGCCACGCTTCTCAGATCACTCCAAGACCACCGCAAGTCCACAGGCACTGAAGGCGAGGGCCGAAAATTCGACCTTGTCCTGAGTGCGCATGTGAGAGGTGCAGTGCATGGTCTTGTTCACAGAGAAAGACTAGGTTCTTTGTGTACAATTTCATTTATCTGTCTCAGGAATTCACTCCCTTTTTACAATTCACACAGACACATCTGCGACTGTCTCCCAACCCAGCCTGTCAGCACACTCCCAGAGGCTAGCGCAGATTAGGCGGAGGAAGAAGAAGACGCGTGAAGACATGTTCTCAGAACTAATGGGCTGCTCCCGAGCCCAGGCAGCCCAGCAGACACAGTGGAGGGAGAACTTGTCACAAATGCACCGAGCAGTCATGGAACGGGAGGAGAGGTGGCGTCAGGAGGACCAACAAGCTACTGAAAAGCTGCTTGGACTAATGAGGGAGCAAACGGACACGCTCCGGCGCCTTGTGGATGTTCTGCAAGACCGGAGGCAGGAGGACAGAGCCCCGCTGCAGTCTCTCTCTAACCGCCCTCCCCCGCCACCAAGTCCCACACCACCCTCACCCAAAGTCCAAAGAAGGAGGGGCGGCAAGGGCCGTTAAAACTTTCAGTCAACCCCTGCAGACTGCTCTAGCACTAGAAGGCTCTCATTCCCCAAAATTTGATAAGTCCTTTCCTACCCACCTCACACAAGCCCCCGTCGAAGTTTCACCCCCCACGTTTCATGTGTGGTTCACAATAAAATATTTGTTTCTGTTCATTACTGTTTCCATCATGTTCTTTTGGAGGAGAGTCTTTCTGAAGGGGGGGAAGGGGCTTGGTAATTGGACAGGACAGTCACCTTTAGCAGGGTACAGAGGCGGGGTCAGGTCCAGCATCAGGACACATACACAGTGCAGTCACTGGTTACCCTGGTCAGTCTTGGAGGTGGTTTTCATGTTCTGGGGGGGGGGGTTGCTCTGTGACTTTGTGGCGGGGGAGGGCAGTTACAGATCTTATGCAGCGGTCCTTATCCTGGCTCACAGATCCACGCAGCAGGGGATCTGTAACCCTACCCCCCCTGCCAGAAAGTCACATAGCCGACACATACACGCAGTCCCCCCCAGGAGTGCTGGCAGGCTCCATTGAAATAACCAGTGCACGAGTGCAGAGCCTGTCATTCCGGGAGTTTAGAAGCATCATTTGCATCAGAACACTAAACCCGCCCCCCGCCACAGTCTGCGTCCCCGGTTTAAAACATTCCCGCGAAAACAGCAATACAGACAACGGTGTTCATTAACTAAATAGAACTGATTTTATTTTTTGGGAAGGGGAAGGGGGTATGTAACTGGAGAGGATAGTCAAAATGAACTGGGTAAAGAAACGGGGGCAGGTTCAGCATCTGTGTCCACAAACTTAACAGTCACCGGTTAGCCTGCTCAGTCTGGAATCTTGCTTTCAAAGCCTCCCGGATGCACAGGGCGTCCCGCTGGGATCTTCTAATCGCCCGGCTGTCTGGCTGGGCGTAATCAGCAGCCAGGCTATTTGCCTCAACCTCCCACCCCGCCATAAAGGTCTCCCCCTTGCTCTCACAGAGATTGTGGAGCACACAGCAAGCTGCTATAACAATGGGGATATTGGTTTCGCTGAGATCACAGCGAGTCAGTAAGCTTCTCCATCTCCCTTTGAGACGGCCAAAAGCACACTCCACTACCATTCTGCACTTGCTCAGACGGTAGTTGAACAGTTCTTTTTCTGTGTCCAGGGCGCCAGTATAGGGCTTCATGAGCCAGGGCATTAGCGGGTAGGCTGGGTCCCCGAGGATGACTGTAGGCATCTCCACATCCCCAACAGTTATCTTGTGGTCCGGGAAGAAAATACCTTCCTGCAGCC